CCGAGTGCTCGAAGCTGTCGTCGCTGTCGGGACTGTCCGGATTGCTGGAGCTGTGGCCTTGGTCATTGCAGTTCATGTCCTGGTCGCACGTGCTGCCCGACTTTTTCCGGTCGGGCTCCGGGTCTTCGCTGTTCTCAGACTGGTTCCCCTTCTCATCGGACTTGGAGTTCTCATTGTCCTCTGCGTGGGGCCGGTGGGGGCCGGGCGGGGCGGGAGGGGAAGAGGAGACAAAGGAGACACCACATTAGCAGGGCCAGGTTCATCTCTCACCTGCTGGGGGGCGGGGGGGGGGGGGGCGGAATGTGTTGCAGCCCTGAGCTGGTCCACCGCCTTGATGCCCTGCTTTCTCTCTTGAGGGCCTAGGTTAGCTGGACCTTTATGCAAAGTGTGGTCCATGGCCCAGCAGCACTGGCCGGACTGGACGCTTGCTGCAAATGCAGAGTCCCAGGCCCCCACCCATCAGATTTTGTATTTGAATATCCCTAGACAGTGGTAGGCAAACTCATTAGTCAACAGAGCCAAATATCAACAGTACAATGACTGAAATTTCTTTTGAGAGCCAAATTTTTTAAACTTAAACTATATAGGTAGGTACATTGTTATTAACTTAATTGGGGTACTCCTAAGGCTTAGGAAGAGCCACACTCCAGGGGCCAAAGAGCATGTGGCTTTTTGCCCACCACGGCCCTAGGAGATTCACAGGTACATTAACGATCGAGAGGGCCTGCAAACCTACTCGAGGGAGTCAGAGTAAATATCTTAGAATAAGGTGTGAGTGGCACAGAAAAATGGTGTGTAAGGTGATTGTCTAAAGAGGTCTTGCACCTTCCACTGGTGACTAACCGTTCATTGAAAACCATATTCTTTTCCTAAAGTTATTTTTCTCTACAGTATTCACCACCACCTGATCCACCGTTATGTTTTATTCATTTTTATTAACTTCTATCTCTTCCAACTAGAATATAAGCTCCATGGGGCAAGGAATGTTTGCCTTTTTGGCCCACTGTATAAACGAGGAGCAGAGGCCGTCTCTTCTAGGACTTCTGCCCCAGCACAGAACTTTCAAATGAATGCAATTTAGGGGACAGGAAAACAATCAGATCCTCCCGGGCTTCCCTGAGGCTGTGTCTGGAGTGGAGGGATATTGTTTACAAACCTGGAGAGTAGTGCCCTAAGGCTGGGGAGTGGCCCAGAACCCTAGCTGTCCAACACATTTTAGGCAGAATAGAATTTCCCAGGAATACAACCTCAGGAGACTTAGGGATGATGCTGGTTTTATGGCTCTGCTGTGATGCTTTTGGATGGCAGCCTGGACTAGAACCTTGAACAAAGCATGTAACTACTCTGGCCTTCCTTTCCGTGGCCAAAGAGGTTGGGTTAGAAGAGGCTCAGGGTTTTGGGCAGCTGTGAGATTCTGTGAGATCGGTGTCCCCTGGCTCTGTGTGTCTGTGAAGGGGCCTAGGGCTTGGAGGAAAGGTAAATTTTTTATATTAATTTTCCTGTGCTCCAAAGAACTCAGAAAGCCTACTTCTCAAATAACTAGAAATGGGAAAGCATGGGTTTGCTTTGCAGAGATTCAGGAAACGAGTAACAGCCCAGCACCTGAGTCATTACCAATGGCATTAAGTATCTCACTTTAGAGGCTTCATTCCAGCTTGGTGGAGGATGTGGATATTTGGGGTGCATAGTCAGAGTCTGTCTTTGAGCATCAGAGACAGCCCTGCTATATGCTTCTGGTAAAGAGGCCAGCCCTCACTATGGGGTTAGGGCAGGGCCCCTTCTGTATGGCCAGTGGAGGACTGACATGAAGTATATTTGTGTATGTAAATTTATACACTACAGTATATCTATATGTATGTAAATATATCACAACATACATATAAGTATATATTTATACACATAAATATATGTATATATTGATACACTATCACATATAAATGTAAGTATTGTATGTGTATACATACACATATGTGTGTATACATATATGTGGTGGTATAAATACAGTGTTTGTATGCATGTGTGTGTAGAAAGAGAGACTCAGTAATACCTTGATGCAGCATATGTCTTAATATAAAATCTGACCAGTTGCTGTGCTCTGACGGTGGCCCTCTCCCGTGACCCACCCCTCATGTTCGGAAAGGCAAGCCGTAACTGCAGAACACGGAGAAGCAGTAATACCTGTAATACCTGAGGTGTCTTTAGAGTCTGACTCAGAGTCCGATGTCTCCGAGGATTCCGAAGTTTTCTCTGGCAGATGGGGGAGCTGCGCGATGTCCATCGGGGTGTCCTTGTACTCGGGGTTACTGCGGGGAGGGAGGGAGATTCGTCAGGAGTGCAGGCACCCATTCTGTATAGTTTGCTTTTCACCATTTTCTTCCCATTTCCTTGCCCCAAACTTTTGGAGTTTAGAGAGTGTAAACGACTAAACATGAAGTAATTTCTCTGTTCATCATGGCAATTTTACAGAAGCTTGGAAGCCTGTGCTGGGGCACAGGTGCGCCCTGCTACGATGATTGAATACCCAAATACTACGTGAAAGCCACTAACAAGCTTTTACTTAATCAGGTACCACTGGGGGCCAGGGAACTGTGCTGCTTGACATTCCTCGCAGTAGGACACCTGGGGGGAAGGGAGGAGGAGAAGTGCTCTCAGCAGTTCCCTCCCATCCCTCCTGGGGTGCCCTGACTTCTCCTGGGCTCCTCATGAGTCCATTGCCTCAGTACCCTTGTCTTGGCTCCTTGATGGAGCTTCTCAGTTATTCAGATGGCTCCAAAGCTGTGGGGGGTAGGGGCAGAGCCCTGAGTGCCTAAGATCTGACAGATGCACAGGTGCACCCTGGGATGCGTGGATTATGGCTACTGAACTGTCAACACACCCATTACAATCACATTTTCATCTGTTCATGTGGTGTACACCTGTAGCTTGTTAGCTGGGAATCTGATTGCGGTGGGGAGGGTCCCAGTGTGAAAGAGACCCTAACAGAATGGATCTAACCCCACTTGCACAAACATGTTTAATTTTTGTTCCATTTTAAATTCAGAAACAAGCCTTTTCTGGAAAAGAGAGGATATTCAGTCAAATTTGAGTTAGCTGTCTTCTAAAAATGCCACTCCAAGGCTGGCCCAAGGCATGAACAGTACAGGCTACTGTAACCGGAAGCCACAAGGAAAGTCTCTTGCCTCAAAATGGAAGATGCCTCTGCTATCCTTCCATAATGGCTAGTCAACCAGAGGCTCGCAATAGAGGATTACCGAATCACTTGCTAATTTCTAGTGGGATTCCTACATTAAAGAGTCACTGGTTCAGTAACTAAAATTGCAACTGTCTCTGGGAGGGTTAATTCACTGAGATGGATTATCAGGCGCATACTCCTTAGTGTGAATTAGCTTCAGCAGCAGTGCTTTCTCTAGGTAATCAGATGAGACTAATGGTGGGGAGGTAGCCTTAGCACTAATGCAGTTTCTGAATATTCTCAGTCTGTAATTCTACCAAGCATTGTGAGGGAATGGGAGGAAGACTGGGGAGTAATCATTTCAGAACAGAGAAGAACAAGCCTAGATGGGGCCCAGAAGTGAGAGATTCTGAGGAGGAAGAGGGAGCATGGAAATATTGCTCAAGGAAGAACAAAGGACAAGAAGGCGGGAAAGAAAAGCAAACTTGAATAGTTGCTGTTTGCCAAGGCCAGGTCCTTTTCTTACCAGATCTCTAGCCTATAGAAGGGATACCAAGGAGTTAGCACTTGGTAGAGTTTTTACTGCTAAAGCCCATCTATATTAGTCTCCTTTGGTCCATATGGCTTGGAGGTTCACAAGTCATTTGACACTGATGGCCTGTAATTATTGAACTCAAGGGGAGTCTTTAGGTTAGCTGACACAGGTCTAGCATGTCTGAGATTGAGGCTCTTGAGCCTGAAGACTTGCCTTTGGTACCCAATCTGATTCCTTCCTCTCCATATGTAATTAGATGGACCAGAGTCACCAAACACTCATGAGCTTGTGCCATGTGGTCCTAGGCTAAACTAACAGTGTTCACCCAAAGCTGCATGGACTGACCTCTCCTTAACCCTTCTCATGCCCTCCATTTGGAGGCAGAGTAGGAAGTCATGAGGCTGGGGGTGCAGTAAGGAAGGTCCAAATAGGAAGAAATCGCCCTGAATGGGAGCAACAACCATATAGATGGTTTTAGTGCCCTAGGGTACATCACCGTGGAAACAGGCATCTTCTTATCCGTGGTGTCTCTGTTACCTGTGTCTAATAATAATGGGTCTCCTTGGCACAACTCCATCTTTTGCCCAGCAAAATACTGTCAATGCCATAGTATCTTATCCTATTTCCTCTTTGGCATTAAGTTTATAACCTTCTGCCTGACATATTGCCACTGTTCCATAACCTTTATATAAAAGGATTTCTTGATGCCGCAAACACATGATTGCATGAAATTCAGGCCTTGGAGGAATCCACATTAAATACACATACCTTTAGAGCGAATTGATGTAGAGTAGAAGAGGTCAAAAATGGGGAAAAAAAGTAGATAAATGAAGACTCTTTTAAGTGGTGCACATTAAAGCCCTCTCTAGAGCAATAATCATTAGTGTCTGATTGATATGCTATTGGTAGCAAGCACATTCATGCCTTCAAGTCATCACCAACGTGCATGAACACACTCTGAAGGGTCAGCGTGCTGACGAGCCATGGTTGTCAGCCTCTCAGCTTCATTTGGCTGTCTCAAAGAAAAATGGGATTCAAGTACTCCCTGTCTAGATTATCAGCCAAAGGGTAACAACTTCCATTCATAAGACCTATTGGAAGTTTTCCTACTCAGACCATGTGTGGGCCCTGCTTGGTGGCTGCAGGCCAAGGGAAGCCAGAGATGGGAATGACAGTGGTGGAAGGGAGCCAGCTGAATGTTCAGATAGCTCCATGACAGGATTGGTGGAGAACCTCCCACAAAGCTTGCCCCCAAATGCAGACCACCCAGGCTTTGGTCTTGGCTACTTTTTTTGCTAGTTTGAATCCAAAGGCAGAAAGGAGGAAGGACTGAGAAATGGTGCTGCATGCTAGAATTTAGGAAGCTTTTGAGTGTGGCCACATTCATGGATGTCAATTTGAGGGCACATTAAAAAAGTTGTAAAACTTGCCTGAGGTCACAGAATAGGCAAAAGAAGGTTGCCTTCATTTTTATACTGATACTAGAGGCCCAGTGCATGAAATTTGTGTACTTGGGAGGGGTGTCCTTCAGCCGGGCCTGCACCCTCTCACAGTCTGGGAGCCCTCGGGGGATGTCTAACTGATGGCTTAGGCCCCCTCCCTGCGGGGAGCCTAAGCCAGTAGTGGAACATCCTTCTGCATTGAGTGTCTGCCCCCTGGTGGTCAGTGTGTGTCATAGTGACCGGTTGTTCAGCCTTTCGGTTGATTTGTATATTATCCTTTTATTATATAGGATTATCTTGATTCTAGCAAAGCAAGTTACTATGCTGGGGGATTCTAAGGCATGGAACACAGGAGAACTATAACGTACCTTGCTTAATTTCATCCCCTTTTGCTTAATTTTCACAAGGATTGGAGTGTGTGAGTGCGTGTATGTACGTGTGGAGAAGGGGGTGCTTTTGAAGGCATCAGTTTTAGGCAAACATCTATATTCTTTTTATGGCCTGAGCATTTTTGGGGAAACCAAAGCAGCTTCTGCAGAGCTTTCCAAATGTTGACAGACCAAGCATTATTGACAATGTTGTGAATCTGCCCTGGAAGTCCCTTCCAACATAGCTTTGATCGTTTCACATTTCTTTGACTCTTGTGGAAAGAAAAGCAGAATTTCCACATAATTGCACACCTGATACTGTCAAGAGATAATACAACATGCCAGTTACTAACCATTGGGATGCCTATTTTATGACTGAAAGAGAAGCAAACAAGAATTAGAAAATATACCTAAGAAGGTAATTCACCCAGATGATGTTCTTCTCATTTGCATTCTTGGCATTAATAGCTATGGTGGCACTAGACTGTATCCAGATGTAGCCTCCGTTCTTCTGCATCCAGCGGTAGTACTTCGTCACACACTGGCCCTTATTCAGCACTGGGGGGAAACAAAACAGAAGGCCCTGCGTATTAAGACTGGGACCAGATGATTGTCATGTCTGCAAAACCTCAAGCTTAGAAAGGGGAGGACTGCACTGAGCCAGGGTGGCTCCCTGTATGCTTAATGTAGAATGCCATTAGCAGAACAAATAAAATCAACAATTCAGTGGAGCAGCATCTCCCCAGTGAGGGTTGCTAGCATTTGTAGCAAAACTTTGTTCCATTTTGGGCAGCCATGGCGTGGAAGGAAGAATAAAAGGACTACAAATCTTTTTGGCTCACAGAATACCTAATGCAGTGTGGATATTGTCAATGGGTTCGCCATCAGATGGCAACAAAGGCAAATGTGCACGGATTTATTCATAGCTTCGAGGTAGACCTCTTTGAGATTCTGGGTATTCAAGTCCCTCCGAAGATACTTTACCCCTCCTTTGATCGTTCACCTCATGCGAGCGAGCAGTGTCAGCCAGCGTCCTTGTGCATCTGTTCCTTTTGATCTTGTGCAACAGAATTTATGGTCCACGTATGAACTAAATTTACATTGGTCAGTCAGGGGAAATTCTGGTGAGACTTTACGGAATGTTGGAATAAAATAAATTTCCCAGCCGAGTCAGAGAGAAATGCTGGCCTAAGGGAGGCACGGAATTGACTTGGCTGGAGCCAAACAGAGTGACAGCTCCACACAGACTCTGAAATATGGCCCCAAATGAAGGAACAAGTAAAAACAATCAGTAATGTGAAACGGTGCCATTAAATACCCACTGAAAGAGAGCTTTAAAATGCAGATGTTAAAAATGATACTTTAACCAAAATCTTGCCAAGTCGAAATTGATTTGACTTGTATCTGGGTACTCCTGAGCTAGTAAAAGGGGGAAATGCACTAAATCATCCCTGAAATAAAGTGCTATGGGAGGGAATGGTTTAAAAAGATGCCGGAAACGTGCAAATCCTCTGCTATTGCTTGGATACGCATGGCAGAGACTCCACACCCCCCAGCAGCCTGCCAGCTGGCTGGCCACTAGAGGGCAGTGTGCACTCATCCACATCACCCACTTTTGGCATGTCCTTGTCTCTGTCTGCTAAAATGAAAAAGCTCTAACTGCTGTAATAAATTTGGCTAAATTAGCTGCTAAATGGTTATCTCAAGTAATATGTATTTGCATTAATCATCTTGCTCTAAACCAGAACAAGCCAGAGTCCTAAAGACGTAGTAAATTCATATTGTCCATTTAATTACGGCTAATAAGTGCTTCATATACAATAGTTTCATGAAGTACATTTTGATTTTTTTTTTTAGCGGGGGGTGGGGTAGAGGAGTAAAGGGAAGTCACTTTGGAAAAGAGCTGTGTTTAAGGCTGTTGAAGCACTTTGCTGTCATGTCTGAGCCACTCTTCCTGACCCCTGAAAGCGATCAAAAATCAAACCTCCACCTATTATATCCATAAACATATAAACTTCAATGCCTTTCTCCCATTTCTCACCTTTTCTCACAACACACTAAATGGATGGTTGTAAAGTTGAATAATTATATATCTTAACAGTTGCTTGAGAAAGCCTTGCTTTGATGAGGGCTTCAAGTAGTAGCAAGTTCTATTCCATAACCATTCGACAGCTTAGGGTGGTTCTAAGTCCCGGGACTGTCATTGGCCGGTGGCCAGGCTCCACAGGTAGCATTGCACTCGCCTTTTGTGGGCGATTGTAAGTTCTGCCATTCTGCATGCATGGCTTCCCAGGCTACAAGACCGCGTGGTGAAGCTGAGAGCAGTAAAATACTAACTCTGCCACACAGCTCTCTGTCAAGCTATTGTTGCATTCAATGAGATGTGCTTTATTCAAATCCTCTCAACCTGGTTAACTGTTAATAGAGGAATGATGGGTTATGAAATTCTGCCCACTATTTTCACAGAGAAAGTTGATAGCCCCCAATCAAGGATTGGTGTATAATTCTATCAGCTGTGTAACTGGAACAAGGAGTTATTTTGAATGGTTCTAGTTATTTAACAAAGGCAAAGAGTCTAACAAGTCCATTTTTTGAAGCACATGAAGAAAACACTGAGATGGTAGACCACTTAGATGGCTGGGGATTCTGGATTTTTGACCCAAAGCAGGCAAATTTAAAATACATGTATATCACCAGAATACTTTGCATAGAAAGGGTCAAAGTGAGAACGGAATTATAGTCAAATTAGAATGTACAGAATCAACATAAAGATCAGCCCCTCTTCTTAATACTTTCTCTTACTTAAAGACAATCAAAGAAACAAAAAGCTCAAATTTGAAATGCAAAGCCAGCAAAATGTCTCCCTCCCTGCTGGGATCCCTGCTATGCGATGGAAGGGTGGTGTCACCTTTTTGCGTTAAGGCAGTTTGACTCTTGGTGTGCTTTAGTGCATCTGTGCTTCCTGAGAAGATAAATACAAATTTATTACGAATGAATGAATGAATGAATGAATGAATACATTAATACAGACTTCTTCATCACCCAGGCCCAGGGCCATCTAATAAAGGGGGGAGACCTACTGAAAGAGTCAGGCCAGGTAAATTTTGATGTGAGGAAGTGGTTGTGAAAGGTGAAAGGACTGACAAGGGGTTCCTTGGGCGTCAGGAGCTAGTTGAGTGCCTTAACTTACCCTGGTGAATGCCACAGAGCAGATCTGGGAGCCCACCTTTGGTCGGCTGAAGTAAAGTTTGACTTAATCCATTACTCGCCCACCCCCAACCAGCCTGACAAACAGAATTCTTAAAAGGTAACCATTTTACCATGGTCTTAGATCATGACTATTTCCTCAGGATTAATGTTTTCTGAATGAGACCCCACGTGCTGGTGGGAATCTACATAACTAGGCTAAGGCACTGAGTCAGCGCCCACTGTGGCATCCAGTGATGACCAGAGGATTGCCCAGTTGCTTTTGTTTTTCAAGAGGCCCCATAAAGGAGGTTATAGTGGAATTTTGCTTCGTTTAAAATAAACAAGAAAAATATTTTTCTTGGGGCTCCAGAATATAAATCTATGACTTTTGGATGAAACTCCCCCTCTTTTTTTTTTTTAATCATATTGGCATATCAGCTAGATCATTCCAGCTGGGCCAGAGGCAGGGTCTGCCAGCCTTTCCTGAGCTCACCTTGGTGCCAGTTTGAAGGAGATTTTTAGTTTGTAATAAATTAGACAATTTGAAAAACACAAAAACTTTTTCGATTCTCTTTAATCCAGTAGCTGTTGTTTTTATTTTTGAGTTTTAGCTTGTGATAGAAATGAGAGGATGTTTGTATCAGTGTATTTCATAAAGGTTTTTTTGTTTGTTTTGTTTTGTGTTATTTTTTTGTGAGGAAAAACAGAAATAAACATGATGTAAGTCATTTGTTGTGAAAGTCCTTAAAATATGGTTAATTGTCCTTTGAAAAGAGTCTGGGAGTAATTTCATAGTAATTTCATAACAATGTGCTCAAACTATAAAGAATGGAACTAGAGAGAGAGGAAATGCATGTGTGGGCCCTATTTTTAACCTGACGTCATGATGTGGTCCGACACTTAACCTAGCACCTTCTTTGTGATTTATGCCCATGTCTACTGCTTGCTTTCCACACTTTTTGGTAGTGCAGCCTGTGTGTCCCTCACTGAATTCATTAATCACACCATCACATCTGTAGAATTACGTCTTTAAAGTTGTGCTATAGGAATTAGTTTTTATTAAAGGACCCCCAGACATTGGAGTGGTCTTTCCTTAGCTTTTATAGGACAAACACGAATACAGAGGAGGACGAGGACCTCTTTCCCAGGGTCACTTACAACCTCAAAGGGTCCCAGGTGTGTCTGCGAACACCTCTGCTACCATGTAGAGCCTGCTCCTTTTTACCCTGAAGTCTAGGGTGTAACCACTGCTGTGGCTGCCATCACTCCGAGGAGAACCATGAACCTGGCATCAGTACCACCTACCTTCCAAGCTAAAGGTGCCTGAGTAACAAACCGTGTTCTTCAGAGGAGAGAGGTGACTCCACTGTGAGAACAACACAATACAGACCAAGAGCCGTAGCTCCTCCTGGCTGCACTGTTCCAGGCCTGCTCATCTCACTAGCCATGGCTGGCGGCATCAGAACACCATCCACCCCAACTGTGAAGGGGGTGGCGAATATGGTTCAATCAAAAGAAAATTGCAGAGAGCCAATGTTACAGAACACGTGGCTTTTTACATCAAATACAACCCTGCCCCCCTCCCCATTCCCCAGCCAAAGACTGATGCTCAGTATTATTCAATATCCTTTTTAAATGTTACCGGTTCAATGGGTTTGGGCTTGCTGGTAGGGATGCAAGAAATGTACTGCCGTCCCCCCAAACCTGAGGGCTTTTGCTGAAGCACACGGCCATGGCTCTGCAGTTACCAACAAAAGCGGTTCAGTTGTGTTTTTTTGGGAAAACTTGGTCCACAAAGATAGACTGAGGACTGAAAGGACATAAAGGAAGCCTGTGTCTGTGGCAGGAACATAATTCTGTTCGTAAATCAAAACAAATCGGTCCAAGTTTGCCTTCAGAAATATGGAGAATAGAAGAGAACATGGTCTCTTCCTGTTGGGCTGTTCTACAAAATCAAAGCCAAAGACTCTAAATAGTGAGTTACTTGTGTCTTAGAAAGAAGGAAGCAGTCTAATTCAGCTTGAAGAGGAGATGGAGAACACGTATCAAAAGCGGCCTTTTAGCAAAGTGTCTCACAAAAGGACATTTTAGTGGTTTGCATATGCATTAAAAAGCTGCAATACTTGGCGTATTCAGGTAAGTATAGAATAAATAGGAAATGGTGAGATCATCGGAGATTTCACACTTCACATTCACAGGGCTGAACAAAGGGCTTCATTATCGTCCTGGCGATAGGAGGACGCATCTGCAGCGCCATTCACCCTCCTGAGGTACCTTCATCAATGGCTGCAGAGAATGGAGAGCAGATGCCTTGTGCTGGAACTCAAAAATTATTTCAATTCACTAATGTGGAGTGTGTGTGTGTGTGT